GCGCCCCGGCCCGGCGGGCGGCCGCCTTTGGCTCTAATCCCCACCCTACCCGGTCGTGCCGTAGAGCTGAAGCCTTCGCACCCCGGACCTGCTGGGCCTGAGTGACCGTTTCCCCTGGCCCGGCGCGCCGGTCACCGAGCGATTTCAGGGCACTTCGCTGATGCAATCGGGGCGAGATCCTCTTGGTTAGCGGGCCCGACCGCCCGCGATTCTTAGGGGTCCGCGTAGGCGCCTCTCCCGCAGGTGGTCGCGTCCCAGCTTGGCTCCTTGGTGTCGTATTTCGGTTCCAGTACACACAGACCCCTGTGTTCTGCACCCCGAGGGTCGCCCCGCGCCCCGCCTTATCTCTCGGTGGCAGCTGAGCAGCTGGGCGCTGTGGCCTTCGTCTGGCTCTGAGCGTGTTGTGTGTGCCTGGAAGGTGAACTCAGTCCCGCGTGGGCTTTTCCCCTCTGCTCCAAGATGGATGGAAAGTATTAGTAAATAATCATAGCAGTTATACCTTGAGAATCCATCTTAACCGCCCTCCTTCTGGGTTTTTGTTAAGAAAATCTGAAACACAAGGAGCCCACACTTAGAATTCAGTCATTTCTTTTGGTGCAACGCCACTACACACAAACACAGTGTTCACTTAAGGCATGCGTGATACCACGCGATAGCTGATCCAGACACCTGTGGACTTGTCTTACATTTCTGTAATCTGTAAGCCACCTAAGGGTTCAGCTATATTTGTGAAAAACTATGGATGCTTGCAAACAGTGGTGTAAGCGCTTTACAAATACTAATCTACAAATACTAAGGTTAGTATTTCACTTATTTAGAGAAGAAAACAGGCTCAGAGAGTTACTTGCTGGAGGTCACACAGTTGTATGTAATGCACCCTAAGCTTTAACAAACTGTCTTTAGAAAGAGGATCTAAAGATGGTCGGGGAATTCCCTCTGTGATTTTATACTTCACTACTCAAGGAGCACCTATTCTGAGAATTTTATTTTCTGGGCAAAGTCCTATATTGAAATATTCTTTAGTGTGTCATGTAATGTGAGCACACTCTTAACTCTGAAAGACCAAGTTTGTAAGATGATAACTATCAATTACTATTATAGCCTACAATGCTTTGACATTGGGTTTTTTTCCTCAGAGGAGCAAAACTTGCCATTCCAAAATATGTGGTTGTTCTGGAGTAACAGCATACAGAGAGATGAGATTCTGAAAGCCGGGTGGCGGTTTTGTAAGGGACATTTACAGGTATAAAGAAAAAACTCCATTTGTAAGGATGTGGCTCCCCAACCCCCATAGAAAGAGGGGTGTATGACCAAATATCTGTATTTCATCAATTAATCGGAAGATTGCAGCTTCGGTCTGTTGGGTGTCTGCAAGGCATATGCTGATTACTGTGCCTTTCTTTGTAACTGCCCACTACTGGTCATTCACGCAAGTTGCTTGCTCAGTTTTCCGGAGTCTCCACAAGGGACCCAGGAGATATGTATGTTTACATTTTTGTCTGATTTTTCTTCTGCTAATCTTTCTTTTTATCTCAGAAGGTGTTTAAGAACCCAGCGGATAAAAAGTGTCAGACAAAATGTGTCAGTCAGGACAGGAAGTTTCCTCATACCCCTCTGGGTTGTTCTTGGCAAGTGGAAATAATCAAATTAAGATCAAACATTTGCAGGAGGAAATGATGTAATTAGGTGTATGTCTAGAATCTACACAGACTAGATTTCAAAGCCAGTGAGTTAAATTGGGATATATATATATATATATATATTTTTTTTTTTTTAAGATTTATTTATTTATGCATGTAAGAGCTCAGGTGCAGGCCAGAGGTGTAGGGGGTGAGAGGATTCACCAGAGAGAGTGGGGAGCAGAACAAGCAGAGCAACTGAAATATGCTGCTGAGGGGAGCAGCAGGTGAATCAGAAGAGGTCTGCTGTGCCCTGTGGGTCACTCCCTGGCTGGGGATCTGCAATGGGTCAGCCCCCTGGTCAGAGTGCTGCAGTGCCTGCGAGTAGCTTCATAGTGCTACAACTTGACCCCCTGCACTAGCAGGGAGGCCCAGGAGTATATATTAGAAGCTAAGGAATGGGCTTTGGCCTGGGGTTTCAAGGGAACAGAACTCTTATAACCAAGACCAGCTGATGCTCTGTAATTAGATGCTTGCCTGCCAGGTAGATAGGTTTCTTTGATAGATTATTGCTGTTAAAAACACTAATTCTGGGTAATACCCCCAATTTGTATACTTCTATGTGGTGAAGGGGGTGGTAAAAGTTGTCTCATGAGTGAACATGTTGATTATTGACCTCTACTTAAAATAATCCATGTGACAAAGTGTTATGTCTTTGGAGAGACCTATCTTTCAAAGGAAAATATTTTTCTTCCCCTACCCTGACAACTCAAGGCTTTTAGTATTTTTACCTCATGGAGAAATATATAGGATTGTGGCAAGCAATTTACCCAGAAAAAAATTACACAAAAGATTAACAACCCAGAGTCAAAGAATTACCCACGTCTTTGGAATCTGATGACTTGTCCCAGGTCCCTGGCTGTGTTTATACACATAAGACTCCACTCTAGTTGAAAACAAGAAATGAGGAGGTTGCCTCTACCCTTACAGCCCTAAAATGCAAGGCCATTTTGGATCCTACCTCTTGTTCCCCAAATCCTGTGTTCCCAAACTTAAATCTTTGATATTAAAAAAAAAAATAGTTCATCTGAGCAATTTTGGAGATCTAACTGGTTTTACTCAATGATACATGAATCAGCATCACAGCTAACACACAGAGTGCTCTGAGGAATTGTTCAAGATGGGATGTTTTTATAGCAGAAGGAGGTTGGGACAAGGAAGATTTCAAAAAAGTAAATTATCTCAGGTGAGGTTACCTATCCTTTGGGAAAAGCAGGGGAGTCTTCTGTTAACCTCAAACAAAAAGCAGCCAATTATTCTACCACCCAATTGAGATTATTTGAAAACAACAAAGATGAAATTTAGAGAATGCAGCCTTATGACAAGACACAGGAGTACCTTCCCTAAGCCAAAGCCATCATCCTCTTATTTGGGGGGCTGCTGAGTGAGTGAAGATGCCTCTATCTTTTTGCTGGGGCAGGTAAACAGCCTCACTTCCTACCAGAATACAAGGTATGTTGGGTCATGTAGTTTTCTGAGTGCACATGCATAGCACTATCTCCTAACTACCTGACTATATTTAAATAATTTTTGTATATTAATTTTCACACCTCACTAGCATTGACCAGGAAATTCCAGACTGATTCCACTTCTGAAGGGTTGAGACTGCAAACAAGTTATGCATTAAGTCTTTGTTTAGTGATGTGGGGCTTAGCACAAGTGACTATTTTAAGCCTGTTGCTCCTCTCCAACATTGTTATGTTCTTAAGTGGTTGCTCTTTCTGCTTGCTACCTGGGGCAATAGACCTTCTTAAAACCAGATTATCAGAGTTTAGCTAATCCCTGATTCTGTTAAGGAGGGTACCAAGTTCCCCTTCCCCAGTTAATGAAGGGAAGGGTTGAGCAGCCAGGTGAAGCTCTATAACAAGGAAAGCAGGTGGACTCTGTAGAGACCTGGGGAAGGATGTGCTTGCTTAGTTTGGGGCTTGCACCAGGGACATGGGGAGACTGGAGGAGACAGTTGAAAGAGAGGTGGGTGGGAGGCTTGGGGAGGCTGACCCTGACAGCCATTACCTTGTTTTGTACTTTGATTTTGCTCTTTTGTCCCAGTTTTTGGGGACATGCTTCAGAACCTATTTCCTGGTTCCCTACCAGAAAGTGCTTTATTTATGACAAGCTTGCAGGCCTCAACGGCCTTGCTTTAATCCAACCCTGTTTGTTTGGCTGGGCTTTTACCCACAAAGGGATGGATGGGAGTTGTCTTCAGAAGGTCCTTTCATCCTCCTTAGGCACTCTAGTAGTTCGGTTAAAGTTCTTTCACACTAAGTGCCTCCATTGTGTGCACGGGTGAAAGGGCCTCTTTTCTCTGGTCAGGTTTAGGGGACCTAGGGTGTCCCTGGGTTGCATGCTAACAATTTCATCAGGATTTTCATATTTTTGAAACAAAAGTTGAAGGAATTCAAGACACTAACTGTGGACTGAGGTGTTTTGGACTAGGGGCTTTCCACAGTTGAGGACACTCTGGAAGCAACTCCCCCAAGATACGACATGAACAGGCTCTAGGTTTTGCCTCATAACTCACAAATGTGGTGAGGTGCTCTGGCCTCCTTCGGCCAGTTGCTTGTTTGTTCTTGTAATTACTCACAAATACTGTGGAGGCTGTGAATGGAGAATTCTGCCTAAGGTCAGCGTTAACTTCCTTACTCTGGCTGCTACAGTATTCCAGGCATCGATCCTACTACGAAAATTGCCTGGAGATTGCCAGCACGTGGGCACTGGACCTTCCAGCCGCTGCCTCCAGTCACAGAGTGGAGTGGGAGGCGCCTTGCGCAGTTTACTATCTTCGTGGGCGGGAGCCGGGGGCGCGCGGGACACATCTGACGACCAGATTGGCCCTTGCACCTGTCTGTCATCGGCGGGCTCTCCCGCCGATTGTTTTGCGGTGCGATTTGGAAGCTGAGCACCGCCTCTGGAAACAAGGGAGGGAGGGAGGGGCGACGAGGGTAAACGTTGGATTTCTCCCCTCATTGGGTGGCTGCTGTGTCAGTCATGCTCTGCGCGACTGCGGTTGGCGGGAAGGCTCCGGCAGGTAGCGTGGACACGGGGCTGCCCCTCCCGAGCCGCGATCTCGCGCGTGACGTCTCAGACATTTGTTGTTGGGGTTTGAGCCTCATGAATTATTCATCAGGTACTTGAAAGGGCAACAGCGATTGGTGGCGGAGAGGCCTGGTCGATTGTTTCTTAGCTAGAGATACGTGTCACCCGCTACGCGACTGGAGAAGTTTCGCATAAATTATTCTGACGAGAAATGGGGCGGGGTGATGCATAGATTAGGCAAATGAGCCCGGGAGGGAGGGGAGGCCGGCTACGAATTAGCCTAAGTTATTAAAGATGGCGGCGGAGCGGAGTCGCTCCCCGATGTTGTCGCCGGTCCCGGCCTCTATGTTCGCCCCCGAGCCCACCTCCCCCGGGGCGGCCAGGGCTGCGGCGGCGGCTGCCCGGCTCCACGGCGGCTTCGACTCGGACTGCAGCGAGGACGGCGAGGCGCTCAACGGCGAGCCGGAGCTGGACCTCACCAGCAAGGTAGGCCCGGGCGCCGGTGGCCGCGCCGAGGGGACCTGGCGCCGAGGGGGCCGGCGGCGGGGCCGAGCCGTCTCCCGGGTAACGGCGGGGGCGGGAGGCACGGATCCCGCCCCCTCCCCGCGTGCGGGACGCGTGGGGACCTCAGGGCGAGGGGCGGCCCCCGCATCGCCCTACCCCGGCGGCGCCGAGCTGGCTGCCCGCCTCCCGCCGAGATCTGTACCCCCCGGCTCCGCCACGTGGAACGGGCGTGGGGGGGGGCGCCCGAGCCCGCTGCTCCGCGCTGTGCCACCTGCGCCCGGAGCCGAGAGCCGCCCTCTCCCTGCAGTGCCCCGGGCAGCCGGGGGTCGGTGGCAGCTGGCGCCGGGGAGCGGATGCACTGGCTTCAGGTAGTCGAATGGGGAGGGAGTTCAGCTGCGACTCTTCCTGGTGTCGGGTGAGGAAACAGAAAGTAACCGGTCTGTCGGGGAGAAGGAGCCCGAATCCGCCCGAAACCAAATTGAAAGATGGACATGACCCAGAATCTCGCCGTGCTGGCGATGGAACCTCCACTTGTATGAATGGAATAATGAAGGACGTTTTCTATCACGTCTTCTGAGCTCTCGGTAGGCAGGAATGAAGGGCTGGCTCACTTTCTGCTTGGTGTGAGAGATAAAAAAGTAAGTATGAGATGACTGGCATTTTGAAAGTGCTTATCGTGGCTAAAGGAAAAAATGCCTGCTAGGGAGTCAGATAAGCCGGCTCCCATTCTCCTGCCCTGCTCTATGAAAGGCCCTGTGACCTTGGGAAAGTTTCTTAACCTCTCAGTTCTCCAGCTACATCATCTTTTAAATGTGGATGCATCTTAATGAGAGCTGCAGCTCACACACTGGTCTAATGCCTGCTGCACACTCCTCGCCAGTGTTTGAAGTGACTGTGCCCCTGATAATGCCCTGCGCAGTGTGTGCCATAATTGCAGACGGTTATCGGGCTGTGAAAATGATTGTGACTCGCTCATAGTCGGTAACAGCAAACTTCTTCGAAATCTGGCCCAAACTGGCAACCAAGTTTCAGCTGCTCCCTCTGCCTCTAGCCTCAGCTGTGCACTGGAACAGCAAACAGCGCTCTGGCTCGAGCAGTGGTCCTGTCTGGGAGGACCACTACCACAGTGAGGATGGCCACACTCAGTGAGAGGGACGGTCAGGGGAAAGATGAGGCAATAAGATGAAATGCCGAAGAACCCAGGTTACAAGTACAAACTCTGATGAGTCAGTGCAGGAAATTGTAAGCGATTCACTTGACTCAAAAGCAGACAAACTGGGTGTGGATTCATGGTCCAGGTGCTGAAGAAACCTGGAAATTGCAAGGCAGTGTTGCAAAGAGAGGAGCGCCTGCTTTTCCGGACTGGCTTTATTTAATGTTCCAGGGTAGGAAGTGTGAACTTCACCCCTGCAGATGGCAGGCCTCCCCACGATTTCACAGCTGGGAAGCTTAGGTATATAAATACTGACCGTATTGAAAAGAAACACTGAGAGTGTGGTGGGGGAGAGTGGGGAAGGGTTGAGCAGACTGACAGGAAAAGAGTAGCAATTCTTCAGTTTACACACTTGCTACAATTACATGCGGAGCCCCTAGGCTCCCAGAGCTCCCAAAGGCACAGACTGGCAGCGGGGAGGTTACTCCCAGAAGGTTTTTCCTGAAATGACTGGGTGAAGAAAAGTAATTACCACTTACCCAGCTGTGGACTAGGCTCTGTATGTTACCTTTCATGGTCTTTACAGCGGCCTTAGGACTCAGATCCGTTCTGTAGATTGACAAACTGAGAGGCAGAGAGGTTAATTTCTTTGTCCAAGGTCACATGAGTGGTTAGAGACTGGAATCTGATACTCCTGTTGGTAAATGAACCGCAAATAAGTGGTGGACACTTTAATGTTATTGGCAGGAATCTACAAAGTGGTGGCGCTCCTGCCCACCTTGGTGGCTGTGGTGATTTGTCAATGAAGGGACTTGGAGCAGATTTACTGCCACTTCCTAAGGAATCAAGGTAGCCATGGCGAGCTGGACCAGAACTCTTTTGCGATCATGGGAGCCGCTGGCCTTGGGTGGAGGGCATGACAGTACGGGAGGTCTCTGTCCTGTGACTTTCCAGAAGCAGCCGCAGGTAGAAGCTGTGTGGATGGGAAGCTGCTCCCTGATTTCAGTCCACAAGGAAGAGAGAGCCTCGGTTACGGTGGCTCCTGCCCCACTGGTGAGCCGCTGAGGGCGGCTGCACACACCCCCTCTTTGCTGCGGGTGTGCTTCATACATCCTCCTTGGAGTAGAGCCCCTAACTCACTGGAGGCCTTGGGTGCAGAGGCTGTTCCTGGAGAGACAGGGAGCCGCGAGGGGGCTGCGGAGCTATTTTAGGTTAGGGTCTGTGGGTGCATAGGGTCTTGGTTAGGCTGTTGACTTGCTTTGGCTCTGGTGCTCTTCCAGTAAGTGCGGTCCTAAGGCTTTGGTTTCTCTTCTAGCTGGTTCTAGTGAGCCCTACATCAGAGCAGTATGACAGCCTACTTCGGCAGATGTGGGAGAGGATGGACGAGGGATGCGGAGAGACCATTTATGTCATTGGGCAGGGATCAGGTGAGCATAGTTTTCCTTTCACTTTATTTTAAAAACTATTTAGAGCACATTTTCCCCTCTGTTATCAGCTTTCCCTGTCCGTGTGTCTGCCTGGCAGTCATTCCTTAGTGTCCACAGAACTGTTTGGGAGGACTCAAGGTGCAAGGTGATAATGTTAATTCTTACCTTAGTGATCCTAATGTGTTTGCCTTTAAGGTTCACTTTCCAAGCCCTTTTACAGGTGCTTCCTTTCTACCTTCTGCACTTTCCATTTGCATAAAGGGAAGTCAGACACAAAGCCAGGAAACTTCTTGTCTAAGGTAATAGAGCAAGTCCCTGCTCTGCCTCCAAGGAAGCCCGCCCCAGGCAGTACAGATCCCATTGCTACTTACCTGCTGCTTAGCAGAGAACTGTGATTCTTCTTCCTTCAAGTTGGCAGCAAAGGGTCTACCCAGAATGCCTCTGTCCAGCTGATCTACCTTGGCCCAGGTCGCATTGACCGTTCAGTGTGGCTAGTTGCGATAACACAGCTCCCTCTCCTCGGGAGACACGTGGGCTTATACCAACCATCCTGGCAACTGGATGTTGTTTCTAGCACACGGATCTTGTGCCAGTGGCCACTGGCTTGGAGCAAGACTGCCTCCGTCCAAGACAGAAGCCCAGGTTATTGCTTGGGCTTTTTTTCCCCCCTACTTTTTACTCTTACAACGAGGCCTGCTTACCCTCATCTTCACCAAGGTCTTTGCTGAACTGACAGCAGGGCTTGTTAATTATTCTGAATGTGGTCTGTACCGGAACCCGTGTTTGGCAGCTTGGGAGGGCACCCAGGGTGGGGGCCTCAATACCTCACTCAGGGACTGCTTCTCTGCTAAATGTATGACTTGTAAAGACCAGTAACACTTCTTCCTGGGTCTGAGTTTTAAGGGAGACAACCTCCAAGTCATTCTTCCATTATTTAACAGATATCCCATGTAAGTAACTTTAAGAAGTTGATACTGTTGCAAAGCAACAGCTATTTAGTCTAGTCTCTGTCTGAAGAAGGAGAGTTGGCATGTACATTGTTAACTTCACCAGAAAGAAGTGCTTGGAATCACAGGAGGCTGGGAAGACCGGCCTTCCCTCCAAACACTGCTCTGCCTTCCTCTGAGACTCATATCTCTCCTCTCCTTTCTGTTTTGGCTGTCACCTCCCCAGTTTTGGGTCTTATCACCTAAAGAAGGAATGGACAGAGAGCTAGGCAAGTCAAGAGGTTATTTGTCAAGAAGAAAGGGAGCTGGCCAGCGCTGCCAGCCGCCACAGATACCAAGGCGCGCTGGGGTCAGAAGTGCCACTGCGCTTGGTGACTGGGGCGCCGGCGCCTCGTGCAAGCCCAGTGGCAGGTGCACACCCGCCTGCTGTGAGAGGGTGAGCCGCTTGGAGATCGCCGTCTGCTTGTGGCTTTGAGACAGCGCATCTCAGCTGCCTCAGCAACCAGGTTCTCAAGACCCCAGTCTTCTTCCTTTGTAACCTGGCCTTCAAGGGAATTCTGTCATGCATTTTACTACCAGTTGACCCTGCCAGCCAAGTGCAGATGTCAGACGTTAATTAACACCTCCACACGCCTAGGCATTACCCTTGCCTAGGCATTACCCTTGCGTCTACCCACTGGGTACTATTAGATTGTGGTGACTCCTTCCTGCTGGAATCTTTGGAGGTAGAAAGGGAAGCTAACTAGTTAAACCTGTCGGACATCAAAAAGAATGCTAAACCAGAGGTGAGGACCCCCGGGGGGCAGCTTCATCCTGGCTTTCCTGTGTCTGCCTGGTGCCTCCCCTCTGTCCTTTCTTCATCGGTAAAGTGGAGGTGATGGCATCCTCCCACCCTCCCGCAGACACTTGGTGGGTAAGTCAGGCTATAAAGGACGCGTTAGGCACGAGCCGGGCTTACTTGTTGGCCCAGGCCTGGAGACTGGCCGGTCTGAGTGTGCCTGTTGGCTCTTTCCTCGTCTTAACTGGGCATAAGCACCGCACCTGCCGGGTGCGTCTCAGTGCAGATCTGCGCGTGGGTGGGAGTTCCCTGGTGAAGGTGTTCACTGGTATTAGTAGCTGTTAGTTGTAGCAATTTTTTATGAGTTTCGGTTTCTTTCAAAAAGAAACTTTGTTTATTCTTCAGATACTAAGTTGTGGCTTCTTTTATTTTTTAACTTTTGACAGGATGTATTAGGAAGAGGAGAAAGGAGAGATGAGGCTCCTGCATAGACATAGGCAGAGCTGCTGCTCTGATCAGTGACCGTCTAAGGGTTAACCAGTCAGGGAGCTGCGAGTGTTTGTGGAATGCCAGGAAAGGCTTCAGAGCAGAGGTACCCCGAGTTGGTTCTGATGAATAACGGAGTTTTCAGGTACAGAGAGGCAGGAAAGCCACAGGCACAGATGCATTGGTGAGGGGAGGGCCTCTGTCCACCAGTAGGGACTCTGGAGGGGGGTGCAGACTGATGGGCAGCGCCGGGGCAGGAGCATGGACAGGTAGGCAGGGCCCACGTTCCTGGGGCTTCAAGGGTCATACCAGAGAGTTTAGACTTTGATCCTCAAAGTTCCAGAGCCTTCGCTGCATGGCAGGCCAGAGGGCGCACACCGGGTCAGTCTCCTGGTGGGATGTGACGGGGGTGGACTTTTGAGGCTTTGCTCCTGGGCCTTCTCTTCGGCGCCCTCCTGCCCTGATTCTGAGAGCTCAGCTGGCTGTGCGTTTGGAAACCCCTCAGCCATGTGGCCCCCGTTTGCATTGTACAAATGCTTGAGGGCTTGACGCGTGAAAGACACCTCACGGTGGCCAGAGAGTGTGTGAGGGCAGGCGTGGCCCAGACGCCGCTGCCCAAGGACACGCCATTAGGCTCATGTGTGGTGTCGAGCAGAACGGCCACGCTCGGGCGGTGGAGGTGCTCCAAGGGCCCGTGGCGCAGATACCTCCTGACAGGCGGAGAGCCGGAAAGTGCTGGGAGCCGAGGCTGTGGTGACCAGCCTGCACTGGGGCAGAACCTGGGGGCGGGGATGTGGCGTAAATGGAGAACTAGAGCTGAGCAGCTGGGCCTGGCCTGGGCTCAGAAGCAACGTCAGAGCGTGCTGGCGAAGCGGCTTCCACTCATGTCTGTGCAGGGGTGGACAGAGACAGGACTCTGAGGCCTTAGGGCTTGTTGTGGCAATTCCGGCAGAATAAGGCCCGGAGTTGGGTCGGCAGAAGGAGGAGAAAAGGGCAGAGACAAAGCTGGGGGGAGCGGGAGTGGCGTGGTGAGGAGCAGGGTGGCGTGAGCACCAAAAGGTGCCCGCCAGAGGGGGAGCTAGTCGCCAGAGGGGGAGCCAGTCGGAGCAGAGAAGGCTCCTGTAGAGTCCCGGCCAGCGAGGCCCCTGTGTTCTCTCCCAGGCCCTGGTTTCTGTCTAGCCTGCTGCTGTCAGGACCCAGACTGTGATGTCCGCCTCAGGGTGGCCGTGAGGGACTCAGGTGCTGGTGCTGCTTTTGCTGCTTTTGTTTCAAAAGGGTGACAGGCTTCTGGGAGTTATATCATCCAGGCAGTGGGAAATGCAACCTGGAACTCTGCGGAGAGGACCATGCTAGCAAGGTCTTCTGTTTTTTGTTGTTGTTGTTGTTTTGTTTTATTTTTTTTAAGATTTATTGCATTTGTTTATGCATGTAAGAACAGAGTCATGGGGGTGGGGGTGAGAGAGCTCATCAGACAGCGGGGCGCAGAACAGGCAGATCTATTGAAACACACTGCTGAGGGGAGCAGGGGAGACAGGAGAGGGCTGCTGCACCCTGTGGGCCACTCCTTGGCTGGGGATCGAACTCAGGCAGCAGTGGCTGCCGACAGACAGCTTCGTTGTGCTGAGAGTGAACCTCTAGGCCACCAGGGAGGCCCTGGACAATGATTGTCTTCTGCAGTTTTCAGAGTGACACTTGAAGTATTGGGTGAGATGGCTGACGGTGATGTCCAGAGCACAGAGACGAGCGTGTGGGCTGACCACTGGGCAGACTGGCCTGCAGGGCCCGGAGCAGGAAGGGGTGGGTGGAGAACTCAGGAACCAGACACAGGGAGGCGATGGAGAGAATAAGGAAGCTGGGTGGGACGGAAGTGCTTCAGGAAGCCGGCTGGCGGTGGCCTAGGAAGGGCAGAGAGGCTAGAAGGCTGCCAGTGACTCAGGACTGGTTTATCCGTCTCTCCTGTGTCAACAGCTTGGCAGGTCCCAGGGAAAACAGTCAATCAGGGGTGCTGGGAGAAGGGGAGCCCTGCTCTCGAGCAGGGGCATGGGAAGGGGCCCGTCGCCCTGTTCATGGCTCAGGAACAACCTGAACTTGTTGGGGAGGGGAGGAGGAGAAAGCTTGGCAAGGCCTTTGGGGGGTGCTCAAGGAGAAAAGGCTGCGCACGCTTTGGAGGCTCAGCCAGGACTGCGGGGTGTTTGTCTGAGGCAGGAGGCTGGAGGGGAAGTGAGGTTGTCCGTGGGGGACCTGGCCCCGGCAGGAACCCTGGCGTGGTGGCGCTCGGGAGGCGAGCAGCCGGCTGGCCCGGCTTGCTGTTGACTCCCTTGCACATCCTGCGGTCAGACTCGCTTTCCCAGCTCTGGCTGGGTGTGTCACCTGAGCCACCTCAGTTGAACATCTGCCCCTGAAGCCATCCTTAGCTTCTCTCCGCAGGGGTCTTTGTCTCATGCCCACTTCCCCTCTTGCCTGGAGTATTAGGGTTGCTTCCCGACGGGCCCCCCTTTCTGGTCTCTCACTTGCCAGTGCACGCTTTATACCGCTCCCAGGAGATCTCTGTCCCCGCAGGGGCTGATCTGTCGCCCCCTGCCCACCCCGGGCTTGCCCTCACCTGACACGGGCTCGGCTGCTTGCAGCCTTTGGCTGCTGGGTCGCCGCTTCGCCTGTCCTGCGGCCGCCGCCACACACGTGGCCCCAGTGCTGTGCTCTGCGCTTCGCTCCTCGGCCCGCTCTTTCCTCCTCCCTGCAGCCCCGTGTTCACCCTGGGAGTCAGCCTCCCGCGAAGCTGTCCTCAGCGTCCCCAAGCAGTGCTGGTGGCTCACGCTTTACATCCTCTCTGTGCCGTTCTGTGGCGGAGCGACAAGCTATACTGCCACTAATTAACCTCCTGTCTGTCTCCCGCTGGGCTGGGAGATCGCTAAGGGCCCCTGTATTCCCGGGCCGCGGCGTGAGGCTTGGCATAAACCCGAGGAGCGCCCCAGTGGGCACTGTGAATTAATGAGCCCGCTGCGTAATGGGCAAGCCCGTGGCAGAAGTTAAACTCTGGTGCCCCGGGTTCTGGAGTGCCAGGTGGAGGGGACCTTGCCTTTCCCGAGTGCCCACATGGGCCTTTGGTGGCATGGTGGGCTGGCGGACTCGTCGGCAGGCTGAAGTTCGGGCTCTCTCCCCAGACGGGACTGAGTACGGGCTGAGTGAAGCCGACATGGAGGCCTCCTACGCCACGGTGAAGAGCATGGCGGAACAGATCGAGGCCGACGTCATCCTCCTGCGGGAGCGGCAGGAGGCAGGCGGCCGTGTGCGCGACTACCTGGTGCGGAAGCGAGTAGGCGACAATGACTTCCTGGAGGTCAGGTAAAGCGGCGTCGGGACAGCCAGGGCCCCGCGGCCGGGCCTTGGGGTCTGGGCCTGCGCGGCAGCGTGGGGACGGCCCGGCCTAGTGCGTTAGCAGCGCCCTCCGCTCCTGCCCCTTACTGAGGCCGGAAGGGGCCGGAGAGACGATGGCTCTGCTCTGTCTAGTCAGCGCGCCGTCCCTGAGAGTGTCCGTCTGGGAGGAGGGAGTGCGGCCAGCAGCCATTCTCTGGCCCTGTGCGGGCCTGTTGCTTCCCCACCAGCCTAAGGGTCGGTCGTGGGAGCCACATCTGTGTTCCCTCCACTTGGCTCCTGTCCTTGGAGAAGGGGAGTGAGGGGAGAAAGCTGTCATGGTGGGAGCCCAGTGTCGCTCGCTGGGGACAGCTTCGGGGGTGTTCCCAGTATTCTCACCTGTGGGGTTCACTTGCGCACCTGCGAACTCTCACACGGACCTGTGATTCGTGTACACGCAGGGTAGCAGTGGTGGGCAACGTGGACGCCGGCAAAAGCACACTTCTGGGGGTCCTGACTCACGGGGAGCTAGACAATGGCCGCGGCTTTGCCCGCCAGAAACTCTTCCGCCACAAACACGAGATCGAGTCCGGGCGCACCAGCAGCGTGGGCAACGACATTCTGGGCTTTGACAGCGAAGGCAACGTGGTGAACAAGCCAGACAGCCATGGGGGCAGCCTGGAATGGACCAAGATCTGCGAGAAGTCCACTAAGGTGATCACCTTCATCGACTTGGCTGGCCACGAGAAGTACCTGAAGACCACGGTCTTCGGCATGACTGGCCACCTGCCTGACTTCTGCATGCTCATGGTGAGTGTGGTGCTGGCGGGAGCTGCGACCGGGGCGCCCACCGAGCAAGGGTGGCAGGCTGTGCAGGGATGCCCGCTGAAGCCTCCCGTCGCCTCCGGGGTGCCCCTGACCTGTCCCCTGGGCCAGGCCAGGCGGAGCTCCTTGAAGTAGACCCACAGGGCATTGCCAACCACTCTTATTCTTCACTGGGGCCTTGGGGAGGGTTCTTGGGGGCAAGTTTACAACCTTAGAACTAGAGGACTGGGTTACTCTGAGGAGGTGAGCCCTGGGGAGGGGGCGGGGGAGAGCCCGGACAGTGGTCACGAGGGCCTGAGGATCACGCTCCTCCGAGGCCCATGGGCCTGCCTCGGGCTCCTCGTGCCTGAAGGTGGAGGCAGCTGGGGCCGCCCTGGCTCCGGGAGAGCTCAGTCCCAGGCAGCTCCCGGGTAGTGGAACTGCAGGGGAAGGGAGCAGAGACGCTCCGGAGCCCGTCACTAAGCTTGCTTTGGCCCCGTTGATCTCCCTCTGGACACGGGGGTCTGCAAGGCCTCAGCCTTGATACAGCTTCACAGACAGACCGCAGCAAGCGAGTGCTCCCTTGGCGAGTCCTCGCTGAAGCTCCTCCCCCTTCCCAGTTGTGGTGTCTGGTGACGAGTGTCATAAACACACGCATCTGTTCAGGGCAAGCTCCGTCACGTTGCCCCTCAAACAGGATCTCGGGGAGCTCTCCCTGGCTCTGCCTTGGACGCTGGGGTCTGCGGCCTGCCCCCCGGCCCCCGAGCTTTCCAGCCGCCCTGCAGGCATGTTGGGGAGTGTTAAAAGCCAGCTTCAAGGGGCTTCTCTAGGGCCCACCGTTGGCGCAACCAGCTGAAGAGCAGCACTGTGAAGCCAGCCACAGCCCAAGTCTGATCCCGGGCAGGAGTGACCCACAGAGCCCAGCAGACCGCCCCTGTCTCCCGCTGCTCCCCGCAGCAGTGTGCTTCACCTGTCTGCCTGATCTGCTCCCGCTCTGTCTCTGGTGAAGCCTCTTGCCGCCCCCGCACCTCCTGCCACCATGGCTTGGAGGCTGTGCCCTCAGCCCACCAGAGCGCCCCTTTTCCTCAGTACCACACGAGTGTGGCACCTGCTGTGTCAAACTGGTCTCCTGTGGTGATACTTAAAAAGTGTCAGTTCTGGGATGGACTAGTGACAGTCACAACAGCCGCCCTTGCCTGACAGTTCCTGACAGGCTGCCTGTGGTTGGTTGTCTGTCGTCTTCATTGTTTGTAAATCTCAGATTTTGATGAAACGCATCTCTGAAACTGGGCACGAGCTGCCCACCCAGCTTCCACCTCCAGCCGGTGTCCCCCCCCCCGTGTCCTGTTCCGGAGCCCCTGTGCCGCCAGCAGCGACCTCCGGCTCCAGGACCTGACTGCTGTCTGTCGGGCAGGTGGGCAGCAACGCTGGCATCGTGGGGATGACCAAGGAGCACCTGGGCTTGGCGCTGGCGCTCAACGTGCCTGTCTTCGTGGTGGTCACCAAGATCGACATGTGTCCTGCCAACATCCTGCAAGGTGAGTGGCGCCTCCTGATGCTCGAAGATGGTTGGGGGTGGCCACCCGCCCCCACCCCCGCCCCGCGCCAGGCTGCGGCCCCGCCTCCTGCTGGTCCACCCTTGGTCTGAGCATCGCCGTGAGTTACCTCCTGCTCATTGTTCCTTCTGGTTCCAGACGCGGGGCTCTCGAGCTCCCTCTCTCCGCCTGGCCCCAGCTTCACCCGCCCAGCTGGGTGTCCGGGGAGCCGTTGGGCAGCGGCCGGGCTTCCCTGCACCTCTGTGGGGGCGGAGATGCGGAGGTGCGTCCTGCGGAAGTGTCCTGAGGGCCTCTGCGGGTGTCTCGGGGGCCTCGAGGTCCTTTTGTCAGGAACTTTTTCCCAAGAAGCAGAGCAGCCTGGGAAAAGTCCTTTCTTTCTCATGGACCCCAACCCCTTGCCGGGTGCAGGTTGCGTCCTGGGTGCTGAGAGCCCTGGCAGGTGTCAGACTCGTCACCTCAGCAAACACCTGTGTTCTTTCTGTGCTAGCGGTGCGTCCACACCCCAAGTTCCCTTCCTTGCGGTTTCTCTGGGCCTGGAGGCAGGTAACACTGGTCCAGCTCGGCCCTGCTTGCGCTGCTGACGGGCGCCTGCCCTGAGCCTGGCCAGAGGGAAGGCTGTACCTGACTGTGTCTGTTTCACCTTTAAGAAACGCTGAAGCTGCTGCAGCGCCTGCTGAAGTCTCCGGGCTGCCGGAAGATCCCGGTGCTGGTGCAGAGCAAGGACGACGTGATCGTGACAGCCTCCAACTTCAGCTCTGAGAGGTGAGGGCGGCGCCCGGCGGGAGCCAGGGCGTGCTCTGGCGGGCCGTGGGGTCTCGCCGAAGCCTCTGCTCAAGCCTGCAGGGTGGGGCGTCCCGGGCTCCGCACGGCCCGCATGCCTGCGGTACTCAGTGCCCTGCTCGGTGGCACCGGGGTGCTGTCGCCTTCCCTGCGGGCTCCTGCCAGGGCCTGCGGTGCGTGGGAAGCTGCGCTGGCAGGCGCAGGGGCACGTGGTGACGGGCGCTGCTTTCAGACCGTTGCTGCTCAGAAGTGCCCGATCAGGCCTCGGGTAGTTTGGCGCGCACCGATTTCTCTCCTTGATCCCCTTGGTACTTGAGGGGTGCTTTGTGCCGCGCTCCTCGCCGACGCGTCGAGGAGCCGGAGTTGACTCGGGATACTCGGCGCACCCCCGCTCCTGGGCCCCAGGCGCGGCTGGTTCCCGTGCCGCTGTGCGTCGGGCTGCTGAGGCACCACTCGGGGCTCCGTCTGGAGCCTGGGGTGGGGCCCGGGGTGCTGCCTGGCCCGGCCTGTGGCTCTGCTGGGTGCCGGCTTCACTGCCAGCTGTGGGCCAGCAGAGGGGCTCCTGGCAGCCAGCCCTGCCAGAACACTTCCCCGTGTCCGTTCTGTCTGGCCAGCACTGGGTGCGGAGGTGAGCCTGCCGGTGTCCGTGGCAGGAAGCCAAAGGTAGTCACTCCCCTGTGCCCGGAACTTTCCCAGGAGCGAGGCTTTCCCCGACGGAGGGCGGTAGAGGTCGGCTCTGTCGGGGGAGAGGTTCTGGGAGCCCAAGGAGGGAGCTGGTAGGAGGGTCGGACACTCGGGGCAGAGCGCACCGAGCTTTCCGGAGGCAGGGACGGTTCCTTGGTCAGGCGGGCATGTGGGGCTGGACGCCAAACAAGCCTGCACACGCGGGCGCGGTGGGCGGCGGGCCTGGCCGTCCCCGGCCGGGGAGCCTGGCGCGGTTGGGGCCAGCGTGTGTGCTTTCCACGAGGCCGTCGTGAGCCCCAGCACGGGGTCACAGACAGCCCCTCTGCAGCGGTTTGCTCCTGGACACAGCTCTGCCCAGGGTCGCGGGGGCTGGGCAGCGAAGCGGGGCCCTGGGGCGGGCGAGGGTGGGGCCGCAGCAGCAGCTCCCCAGGATCTCCTGGGCGCCCTGCGCCTGGCCGGGAGCCGGCGCCTGAGCCCCCTTCCTTTCTCTTCACTCTCCGCTTAGGATGTGCCCGATATTCCAGATCTCCAACGTCACGGGCGAGAACCTAGATCTGCTGAAGATGTTCCTCAACCTGCTCTCCCCCCGCACCAGCTACCGGGAGGAAGAGCCCGCGGAGTTTCAGATCGACGACACCTACTCCGTGCCGGTGAGCGCTCGGGGCGTGAGCGGGGCCGGGGGCCGGGGGAGGCCCGAGTAGGGTGCGCTCACTGGCCCGGGGTTGTCTCCACAGGGTGTGGGGACAGTGGTGTCGGGGACCACACTGAGGGGCCTCATCAAGCTGAATGACACGCTGCTGCTGGGCCCAGATCCCCTGGGCAACTTCCTGTCCATTGCTGTCAAATCGATCCACCGCAAGCGCATGCCTGTCAAGGAGGTGCGGGGCGGCCAGACGGCCTCCTTCGCGCTGAAGAAGGTGAGTATTGGAGGCTTGGAGGCCAGGCCTGGGTCCACCGGGCTTCTCAGAGCCTGAGGACTTGTCCAGGACACAAGGCGCGTGAGAGCGGGGCCCAGGGCTGGCCCAGGCCTCTGCCCTGAGCGCTCTCCCCTGAGCAGAGGTCGGGGAGCCGCCTCCCTGCCGAGCAGAGGGTCCTTCTCCACAGGGGCGCACGCCCCACCCTCTTCCCGGCCCCCCTCTTCCCCGGGGACTGTGGTGAGTGCTGGCTCTGGCCGCTCACTTCCCCGCCAGGAAGCCAGCCAGAGCGTAGAGCTGCTCGTCCTTGCCCGCGTGGTCACCTCGCACTGCCCTCTGCTGCACCTGCGGCTTGCCATCCTGCGCCCTCTCGCCGCTCACGTCAGGCCCAGAGCACAGGCTGCTTCCTGCCTGACCCTCTCTTACCCTCGAGGCCCCCCGGTCGCGCTCCGAGGTCCTTGGCGCCGGAGGTCGAGGCGAGGCGGAGGGCCTGCCCAGAGGCCCCGGGGCCTGAGTGCGCCTCTTGCTTTCAGATCAAGCGCTCCTCCATCCGGAAGGGCATGGTGATGGTTTCGCCGCGCTTAAATCCCCAGGCATCCTGGGAGTTCGAGGCTGAGATTCTGGTCCTCCATCACCCCACCACCATCAGCCCACGCTACCAGGCCATGGGTAGGTGTCCCGGGCGCCGCCTGCCAGGGAGGTGTGACTCCCCTGGAGTATTCCGGTCACCTGGGCCCCCAGGTGTTGGCTTCAGCCAGGAGTCGGGGCTCCGCCCTGCGCAGCCACCCTGTCCCCCACCCCATGAGCGGCAGCGTCTGTCTCCGTCCTGCTAACGCTAAGTAGCACCGAGGCCCTGAGTGCCTCACTCAGCCCTGCAGCAAACTTCTGCCTAAAGCTGCTGTGCGCCTGCACTGAGACCAGGGTGCTGACCACAGGCGGGCGGGCCGGATCAGAGCGGGAGACGGGCGCTAGCCGGCGCCCGGGAGCGGGGTCTCACTGGCGAGAAATGTGGGCGAGGGGGTGGCCGGAGACGAGCCCCGAATAAGGCTGCTGGGTCACAGGCCACAGGGGCTCGGGCTGTCCTGACCGTTCTCCCCTGCAGTGCACTGCGGGAGCATCAGGCAGACGGCCACCATCCTGAGCATGGACAAGGACTGTCTGCGCACCGGGGACAAGGCCACCGTGCACTTCCGCTTCATCAAGACCCCCGAGTACCTGCACATAGACCAGCGGCTGGTGTTCCGGGAAGGCCGAACCAAAGCGGTGGGCACCATCACCAAGGTACGGCCCAGCAGACCCCCCTGGCCCGGGGGTGCCAGGGTCACACCAGTGCTGGCTGGGGAGGGCAGGCGCTGCTGGGGCTGCGTCGCCTCAGAGCCCTCTGGTAGGGGTGCAGGGTCACACTCCTCAGACGTCACTGCCCCACACCCGCCACCGAAACAGTCCCACCGGCCCACGGCTGGACATTCAGTCCTCAGCCGCGCTTAAGCCTTCTCTTTGGTTTTTTTTTTTTTTTTTAGATAATATCACTTTGGGTTTGTCTGTTCCTTTGCTCTGTTTCCTTGTGTCCACGAGAGTGAGATGATCTGCTTTGATCTTTCTCCTCGGACTTACTCAAGTAGCCTGCTCTGGTCCGGCCCCACCCTCTGTCCTCGATGGGCTTTGCCCGTGGCCTTGGGTAGGGGCACTTACAGGGGCGACTTGACCCCTGCACCATAGAGAGGGAAGAAGTGGCCTCAGCCCGTGTGACTTCTTGACTGGGCCTCGGACTGGCCTTAGCTCAAGTGACCTTCCTCGGGCCCAGCGTGGCGACCCTGGGGCTGCAGGGTGCGTCGGGGGGGGGGTTGCTGAGTCGCGTCCCGGAAGACCTGTTCGCCTCCGGTCCGACTGAGAGGGACGCGTGCCGTGGTGCCCCGGCCTCCCCTGCTCCTCTTGACAGCGAATGGCCGGCGGGGAGGCGCGGAGCTGGTCCCTCCTGTGGTAGCACTTGGGGTTTCTGGTTGTGCACTTCTGGCAGCTGAGACTTTCACCCTCTGAAGTGAAAGCCCGTCCAGACTCTTGCATGGGGCAGCCTGGGGCTGGGCTGGGGCTGGGGTGATGGTCAGAAGAGAACTCTGAGGTCAGCTTGTGGGTTCTGGGCAGGCTGGGCCCTGGCCTGGGTGCTTCCAATTGTCTCTGGGGAGAACAATCGGGACGGGACAGGGTGGATCTGGGCTGGGCTGAGGCAGGTGTGGTGGCCGCCCTGAGACACCCCCCTGTCTGTCACGGCCCTCAGCCATCGCCTCTGGGACCGGCCAGGCTGTCAGCGTGGTGTCACGGGGGACGGGGGCATGTCGCCACCTGCAGCCCCAGCCTCACCTCCCCCTTGGTTCTTGCAGCTCCTCCAGACCACCAACAACTCCCCCATGAACTCCAAGCCCCAGCAGATTAAAATGCAGTCGACGAAAAAGGGCCCCCTGGCCAAACGCGAGGACGGGGGGCCCCCCGGAGGGCCGGCAGTGGGGGCGCCGCCCCCTGGAGATGAAGGCTGCTCTCTGGGGTCCGCACAGCCGCCTGCGTCCAGCAGCCTCCAGCCGCAGGTGAGCACGCTGCCCGCTGCGGGCGCCCGGGCGGCCAGCGCCTGCCAGTCCCCGTGGGAGAGGCCCTGTGCCGCCTGCGCGGCGTGAGCCGTCTGTCCGTCAGGGCCAGCACCGTCTCCACGGGTCCTGACGGAGACCAGCGCTTGTTTTCAGTGCAGTAGCGGAGCAAGCGTCCGGCGTCTCCCTGTGATGGCCACGCTGTGAGAGCTGCCCCGCGTTCTCGCGTGCTGCCTCCCCCGGCGAGACGCCCCGAGCGAGGTGGCTCTCCTAGCGCACCCCCGCCTCGCTCCTCAGCCTCCTGCTGACCCTCTTCAAGGAGGGACGCTCCGCCCGGCCGCGTCCTTTCTAGCATCGAGCCTGTCCTCGGGCTCAGCGGTCCCGTCTCCCCGTTGTTAGCCGTGGCTGGCCCCTGCCCTCTGTGCTTCTCTGGAAGCTTCCTCATGCTGTTAGGCGTGGGGTCCAGCACCCTCAAAAAGGAGGGTGGTGGTGCTGGCCCTGGGCTGGGTTCTGTGTGGCCTGGCTGGCGCACAGCCTGCCCGCCCCTCCCCTGGCCACCCCGCTGCCGTCCTACCCCTGATGGGTCAGTTTCATTTTTTCTTTAAGGATTGATTTTTTTTCTATGCTTGTAAGAACTGGGGTACAGGCCAGAGGTGCATGGGGTGAGAGGATTCCCCAGAGACAGAGTGGGGAGCAGAACAGGCAGATCCACTGAAACACACAGCTGAGGGAGCAGTGGGGCGACAGGAGCGGTCTGTGCACCCTGCAGGTCACTCCCTGGCCGGGGGTCAAACGTGCTGCAGCGGCTGCAGGCAGCTTCATAGCGCTGCGCTTCAACCCGCTGCACCGCCAGGAGGCCCATGGTGGGCCAGTTTCTCAAGCTCCTCCTTTCTCTCTTTCAGCCCAAGCCCAGCAGTGGGGGCCGGCGACGGGGGGGCCAGCGTCACAAGGTGAAGTCCCAAGGGGCCTGCGTGACTCCTGCCAGCGGCTGCTAGGTCCCCCCACCCCCACGCCGGTCCCCAAGGACCCTCATACTCGGGGCCCTGCTCCACCAGACAGGCCAGCACCACTCTGACGCCCCCGCCCACCCCCAGGCCACAGCCGCGCCTCCTCATTTCCCTCACCCCCGTTTTCCAGGGGGGGTTGTAATTTATAAGCTGAGGAAGGTGGTCAGACGTCCAGAGGACTGACCATCTCCCTCCCTCTTCCTGTCTTCGTCTTCAGACACATTTTTTGTAATCTGGACGGGCCCTTCGTTTTTATTCTTTGTATTATCTCTGCCTGCGTGTCCGTGTGGGCGGGGCGCGGCGGCCCCTCTCCTCCGCCGCCCCGGCCTGTCTGAGGGGTGACCCTCTGGGACTGAGGGGAGCTGCAGCACCCGCTGCCTTGGCTCACTCCGCTCGGGCCCCTCCAGCGCCGGTCTCGGGGCGTTCACAGGGCAGAGGGGCGGCGGCCTCTTTCCTCTCCTGGTTTTTCCTCCACCCAAGACAGGTAACGCCAAAAGCTCCTAGGCCGTAACCTGTAGCTGTGTGGCAGGGGTGGCGATGATTGCAGGGCTCTGCCCGCCCCAGCTGACCCTTGGCGTTGACCCAAAGACAGCGGACAGCTTTCCTCCCCTTGGAGACAATCCCGCGTGTGCCCCACCAGGGGCTGCCTCCTGTGGTCTCGGGCTCCGAAGCCCGCAGGCCCGGCACTGGTGACCGAGCGGGGGCCGGCAGTGGTGAGCTGCCCCTTCGGCTGGGCTTTGTGGTGTCCCCTGTGCCGCTGAGGAGCCGGCACCCCGCCCCGCTTGCTCCCCAGTACGGAAGTGTGAGGAGGACAGGTCCAGGGTAGCAAAGAAAAACTTTCAGGCCCAACAGAGCATTAAAGCCTCTGGAAGAATCACTGCTGGGGTGGGGGTGGGGGTGGGCTGCGCGGGCCAGGGGCGGCCACGTGGGCCGTGAGCCAGCCTGGGCTGAGCTGTGGCTGGTGGCGAAGATACATCCCCGCGTGCGGGGCAGACACCCAGCTGGCTGGGTCCTCCCCAGCCTCGCCGCCCCGCCCCCATCCTTCCCTTTGCCTCCAAACTACTGGCCCCCTCCCCCCCCCAGCTCTTTCTAGTGACCACTGACCGTGGCTATGGGCCAACCAGACCAGCACACAGATTAAAAGTTGGTTCAAGTTGCCAGAGTCCTCTCCCCTGCCAGGCCCGCCCTCGGGCAGGCGCCAGCGCCCAGGACCCCCCCTCCCCCGCCGGGCGGCACAGTGACGCCCACGACCTCGCACCTGTCCCAGCAGGTGGAGCCGCAGCCGGGCGGTGGGTGGTGGGCAGTGGCCGTGGCGCGAGCACCGGGTATGATGGGCCCTTCGCTCTCGGGCCTCTGGGGCCCCCGGCCAGGGCCGGGCTGGGGGCTCGTGGCGCCAGCTCTGCTCCCCGGCTGGCCGGCTCTGAAGCCAGCAGTTACCACCTGAGGGGCGCTGGTGGCCCCTCAGCTGAGGGAGCAGCTCGGGAGCACAGTGTCACCAGCGGGCTTGTTCCCGGCCCCTCCCGGCCTGGGCCTCTGCCCTCTCTGACCACTGGCCACTGCCCTTTGGCTCTGGCTTGATTACAGGGGCTGCTGCCCCCTGGTGCCTGCGTGACAGGAGGACTGCAGTCCCCGTTCCCCCGCAGACTGGGCCCCGACAGCCTCGGGGGCGGAAACGTAGCTCTGGCCCACAAGCACAGCCGCCGACGTCAGAAACCGCCCCCACCTGGCCTTTGCCCCCCCCTCGGGCTCTGACATCCTGCCGGCAGGCCCACTCCTGCTGGCAGGGGCTGCGTGGGCTGCCCTGGACGACCAGGTCCCCTGCTGGCCTCGGCCCAGCGCTCCACCCGGAACAAGACACCAGCCCTTTTGTAGCTGACTGAGAATAAAGTTGTTACTCTGACGGCTCGGTGACCAGTCCCGCCCCGTCCTTGCGTCCGTACCAGTGCTGTGTCTTCCGTGGGCCAGGGCGGCGCGTCGGCTTCTCGGCCGCCTTGGTGCAGAATAAGTTACCGGGATATGCAGTGTCTGGTTGGGGTCAAGTGTTGTGGGGAGGCAGTGAGGTGCTGCGGGGTCACGGGACTTGGACGGAGGGCGCGGGGGGTGCACCCAGGCACCCAGCCCTGCCTGGCACTTGTTGGTTGGGGCCACTTGGGGAGTTGAAGTGGTGCTAAATGCAGGGTGGGGGAGGGGAAGGGACACCCAGCTGAGGTGTTGAGCGTGTGACCCACACCCCACGGGACCCCTCCTGTGGTGGCTCACCCCCAAACCCGCCCTACCTCTTCCTGCCTTTATCTCCTCAGCTGCGCTGGGGCCGGCCCTGACCAGACGCCAGGCCAGGATGAGGCAGGCAGGGCCTGCCTGTGTGGCGCTGGCCCCTGGAGCCCTGTGCTGAGCCAGACTGCTCCCCTCAGATGCTGACTCCTAAGGAGCCACCTCTTTTGAGGGCGCCCTGTGCTGGCGCAGGCACGCGGGGTAAAGGATGAGCCTCGTCACAAAACGACGCGGTCCGGAGGAAGCAGGTAAATTGGGCTACAGATATTCTGTTTTCCCAAGAGCAGCGACCAGTAAGAACCACGCACTCCTGTAATCCCGGACATAATTTATTTTTTGCATAGGCATAAATTAGAATCTGGAGGTAAAAAACTAAGAACCGACAGTGCAGCATTTGTGACAGGAGAGCATGGGGCAAAGCTGGTTGTCTGGGGGCGGAGGTGGGAGGCGGGTGGACACCTCCCTGCCGGCCTGGCCCTCACTCTAGCCCAGCCCTGCCCTCCCCTCCCCCGGGCCAGAACCAGCCATGTGGCTGGAACCTTCCCCCCAAGCCCCCTCCAATATAACCCAGTGCCCCACAGAACGGGGCTAGGAGTTAAGCCTGTAGCTTATCAGTTAAAAAACAGACCTTGAAAAATATGTACATAATGCAGGAGAACCTGCTGGATCCAAGAGCCCTGCCCTGCCCCTCCCGCCCCCTCCCCCAGCCCCTGCCCAGCCGTCCCCACAGATGAGCCAGAAGGAGAGAGTCCAAGCAAGAGCAGAGAGGCCGAGGGTGAGGCCCGCTTGCGTCGGTGGGCTGGCGGATGGGGCCACCCCGCAGTGCAGCCAGGCCTCCCGCTGGACAGCGGGAGAGCTCCGGGCTCCCCCACCCTCTGAGCTGGTGCCAGGTGACGCCGTCATGGAGGGGGTGGGCTGCCTGCACCCCCGGGAATGTGACTGTGCTTCGGGGACAGGCAGGTTCTAGCGAGAGTGGGGAGCAGTGTGCGCCTCCGTCCCAGTGTCAGGAAAGAACATTCGCCCTGGTCCCCCAGCAGGAGGGGCTCATTCAGGGCTGCACCCCTGGTCCCCCAGCCATACAGACAGGGACCCTCAGGGGCCAGACCCTCGGGTACAGGGAGCACAGAGGTCCCCTCGAGCCCGGACAAACAAATACAGTGTATGGCGGCTCTTCAGGAACCGCCTTAGTGGGGGCACCCGTCTGCTGGAGGAGCCGCTCCCCCTGCCTGGAGCTTCCTGCTGGCGGGCTCCGCCCCGTGCACCCTCCTCCCCAGGGGCCTTCCGGTAGGTGCGGGCTCGCCTGCCACACCCTGGCGCCTCCCACGGGTCGCTCCTCCACCTCGTGTGGGCAGCTGGCTCTCACAGCCTTTGCAGGAACTGGCCACCCTGCCTCAGCCCAGTATGCTACATATTTACACCCCCTGATGGGAAGTAAAGGCGGTGCCTGGCGCGAGGAGACAGACGCAGACAGACGCGGCGCCTGCCACTGGCGGGGGCCGGCCTGTCCGCAGAGTGGGCGGGCAGCTCACTCGCGCCTGGATGAGCAGAGCAAGCGTGTGGCGGCGTGGCCAGGGCGCTGCCCACCCTCCGGAGAGGGCGGCACCTGCTGCGAGGCTGGACCCGCTGGCGGCACGGGGGGCGGCTAGTGGGCCGGCTCCCCGTGTACCCTGAAGCGGTAGATGCAGGTGTACTCCGGGTGGCCCCAGTTGGTCAGGATCCTCAGCTCCACCACCTGGTACGTGGCCATCTGTGGGTCCTGGGTGGAGAAGGAGGGTCTGCGGTGCCTCAGAGCCTGGGACTCAGGAGCAGAGAGGACAGGCCCTTTCTGCACCCCCACGGGCCTCACTGCGGAGCCGCTTCCGGCTTTGGGGGGAGGGCCTCGGACCTCACAAACACAGCCGCGGGCCAGCCCGGTGTGCCTGGCTGCCAGTGGACGGGGCGCCTCCCTGGAGGCGCGGCCGAGTCCAAGGAAGAGCCCCGTTCCAGAGCCTGCTTGCTGTCCCTCTCGATTTCGCACTGGGGGTTTTTCCTCCATGCCCAGGAGGCGCCAGCTCCGGGGAAAAGCTCAGCCCTGGTCCTCGGGCACAGCGCTCCGCAGTGCCCCTGGCCTCCGCCTCGCCCCCACAGTGCTCCCCGAGGAGCCCCAGCATCCTGGGGCTCCCCTCCCCCTGGCAGCCTGGCGGCCTCCACCTCTGTGCCGGGTCTGTGCCCTGACTGCCCCTCGGCAGCCGCCGCGCCAGCCACGCTGCCTCCCCTGCCCGGCGCCCAGCCCGGGGCCCGGGGCGCCCCGCTGTCTCAGGCGTGGCGTCAGCGTCACATTGACACGCGGCCGCAGTGCTCGTCCCACCAGACGGCAGCGTCACCGCTGCCTGCAGGGCATTGCCCGTCCTGGGGCTGAGCCCTGACCCTGCTAGCAGCACAGCCAGCCTCCCGGCCCCCTTCCTGCGGCTGCCCTCACCGGCTCACGCTGGGGCCCCACACAGGGCGCCCTGGCTGTGGCCAGAGTGTGGGCCGTCAGCCCTAAGGGCCCTCTCCCTGGTCTGCGGGGTGTGGCTACCCGGGAGCTGTGGCCTCAGGCTCTGAACACCCAGGGCCTGCCGCAGGCTCCAGCTTGGAAGCCACCTGCAGCGTGGGTGAGAAGGGGAAGCCGCCTCCCCACAGCAGGAGATACGGTACCTGGAAGTAAAACGTCTGGATGGGCTCCCCGTCCTGGTCGTAGGTGAACTGGCCAAGCAGTGTCCCCTCCTGCTGCAGGTCCTCGTCAAACCCCTGAAGACAGCGGAGGTTGGAAGGGGGTTCCCGCCCTTCCTCCGCCCCGGCCCCTCCCCCCGCGGGGCTGGAACAGTGGGCTGGGAGGGCGGCGGGGCTGTGGCCTGGAGCACTGGCCTGCCCGCTGGCCCGACAGCCCGTTCAGCTCCTTGGGGCTGGTTCCTCCAGCGAAGACGGAGCCCCTTACTCTCCCTGGAGGCCCCTCCTGCCCGGCCCCGGGTCGAGCACTCACGTAGATGGCAAAGTCCTTGGGGGCGCTGGAGATGGTGCTGTTGGGTGACAGGGACTTGGGCACGTGCTCTAAGGTGGCCGCCGTGGGGCGGATGCGGGCGGACAGGCGGACCACGGCGAAGCCCTGGGGCCCCTGGAAGGCCCAGCAGTTCCCTGGGTGCACGTCTGGCTGGAGGGCAGGAAAGCGGGGTCACAGTTGCAGCGAGCCAGCCACGGCCCAGCAGGAGGGGCGTTGCGGCTCGGTGGTGGCTCAGCATGCTGGGGGCCCCTGCTGCCCTCGCGGGGCGCCCACCTGGAGGATGACTCGGGGTGACTGGGAGTGGTACCACAGGGGGATGCCGAAGAGGCTGAGGAGGGCCGTCTTGGTCTCATAGGTCTCGGAACACCGGGTGCTGACAACGCTGGCGCCTGAGAGGAGAGGGCAGCTGGAGGGGCAGCTGGAGGGGCAGCCGGGCACCGGCCACCGGCAGGCGGGAGGCCAGACGAGCAGCCGAGCTGCGGGTCAGGGGAGCCGGGGGGGTTGCGGCCGCGGCGGCCCAGGGAGGGCCTGTGCTCCCAGCTGGGGACTAGGGCGCAGCCTCAGGCCGGCCCAGCCCGCGGAGCAGCCTGAACATCAGCTCTCCTGGGGGCCC